TACATGTATATATATATATATTTATATTTTATTTATAAATATATTTAATATATAAACATAACATATTTTCTTAAATATATACATGCATGTGTTTGTATTTCTATATACATAATAAATATACACATTACACACTCATATTATGTAAACAAAACTTTTATTTTAGATGCGATTAATCGTTTGACAGCACTAGTTTTTTGTTTATTTATTTTTTGGAATTTGACAGCCCCAGTCCTCTTTCACATTCATTATACGTAAGCTGTGGCAAGAATGTTCATCAGAAATTTCCATGGAAGACAGCAAGTCATATGAGTTTGAGGTGAACTTGAGGAAACTTGCTCACTTCTGACATCCAAGTTTTCAACGTCCATTCGGTTCTGCTGAGCTTCCAGAAAGAGCTGAAAGCTGATGCCACGAGCGCAGGACTGGTAATTGAGGAATCGGGCTGGGATTCTCCCTGTAATGTCAGGCTCCTCGGTGCCAAAACCCAAATCCAGCAACAGTTCCTCAGGGTCATCCTGCAGTATGTTCAACACGTCCATTACACTGCATAACAAAATTACAGTACAAAAAACAACATTAGCAGGAGTATCGACAAATTAACATCTTAAAGTAAATGATCGGCAGGTGGAGAAGGCTATTGAGGAGAACCAGACCTGACATCAGATGGTATTATTGAGACATTCGATGCAAAACTGTTCCACCTGGACAGAGCAGGAGGATCTTGAGATGGCCTGTGTGTGGATGACACCAGCAAACATCAGTGAATAGAAAACAAACACTGCTGACCTTCCTTTCCTACACACCAAAGCCCTCCGTCACATTTTCCTCTGTTTCGCCCATTTCCGGTCAGAATCGCTCTTCTCCTACCTCACTGCCCCATCAGTGACATTCCACCTCATGCAAACCAGCCCAGCAGCCCATGCGGTGACATGTCAACAAATCAGCATTTGCATGGGAAATGTGCTTAAGGTCTCTGGCAGGTGCCTGAACAAGCCTACATCACGCACTCTTACACAGCACTCCGTCTGATATATAGTATATACACATGCATACATAGTACATATTCATATAACAAATGTACCACTTCAGGTCATTTCAAACACTTTGATGTGACACAGATATGCAGCATATTCCTTTATATAGTGAATAGAGTTATATAATCTTTATACATGTTAATATAATTGTTGTCTGATCAATTTCAGAAATGCAACTGGGATACACAATATTGGTACCATATTGGTTATTTTGGATATTTAATCATACATGCTTAGTTTTTCAGTTACTTTTGCTGTCATATAAATATTGAATTGAATTGAAATATATCTAATATTGAATTTAATAACACTGTTCAATGTAATCTTTAGTAAATCTCAAAATGAATATCCGTTTTTCACACTGTACAATTTTTGACAGCTGCTTTTAGTTTTTATTTAGTTACACAAAAATAGTATAAAATTGTAATATCGGCCATTACATGCAAATATCATCATTCAGCTTATCATATGAATATCATATCACATGAAAGAAGTCAAAGTTATTCAAGTTATAAATGAAAGTACTGCTTAAAAGACAATGAACATTAAAAATTAAATCTGTTCTTACCTCAGAAGGTCTCGTACAGTCTTAAGAGAGCGTTTGCCATATAAAGATGCTGCATCAGACACAGAAAAAACACAGAGGAGTTCTTATGAAGATGGAAAACATCTGCGTTTTCAATTAAACACCTCCAGACAGCGCTACAGTAGCTATATTAGGTCAATATTCTTCATTGTTGTTTTGATGTCTTCTCATAAACAACTGTAGAGAAGACTTTGGCATTTTGTCAGGGACATGCTGATGTCTTCTTAAAAGTGGACCCTGATCCAAAGTGCCCAGCATATTTTCCTAAACCAGCACCTTTGTTTAATCTCGGCGGAGTCCGAAGAGCAACAATCCATTCCGTCCTGTACCTTCCATTGCAGCTGAGTTACAAAACCAAAGCACCTCATTCACTAGAAGGGGAGTGTCTGGCAGTGCAACTGACATGAATGAGAGATTCAGAACTTTGACAACAGCAACTTTTCCTAAGAAGAGTCAAACAGCAACAGACGAGAGTGAAGACATTCACTAAGTGACCCTGAAAAGGAAGAACCCAGGACAAAAGACAGACAGAACCCTGAAGAAAGACAGCACACCGAGCAGAAAGAAAACAACTATAGGTGGTCGACGCGAATATGATCATTCAGATATGTTAACAGATATGAAGAATGTCTGGCAAGCAAGCAAATACATTTAGGAATGCAGCTGATTGTATGCTCTTGTATCATTGTCATTGTATCTACTGTATTTGCCTAATTATAGTATTAGTCTGCATTTGTTCTTAAATTGGTTTATGAAGAAGCTACACGAGAATGCACTCTACACGTCTAAATAGCTTTGTCCTGTTTTTGTTGGGCTAAAGACACATTTCCAAGTCAGTTGATTCAGGTCCAGATTCTAAACTTCTCAGGACTAGGGGCAAAAACATCTAAACCTCTAGAATCGTATCTGCTGTGATGTACAGTATGTTAGAACATGTCAGAGCTTAACTCGAGGGAAGGAAGTTTCTGTAATTCAGCCTCTGGTGCCTGAAGTGAAAAGTCAGCTCAAGGTAAACCTCTTCAAATATTCCTAACACCTCAGTAGTCACAAGAATTATGTAGAGGATGATTTAGCCTAGTAGGACATGTACCTCCATCAAAGCGTTCATATAGGAATTACAAATGGATTTTTTGAGTTGAATCACTCTACTTTTTAATTATTTTAAGTAAACGTCTTCACTGAACTAACTGATGATTTTAAGTAGAAAAACAAACAAATCCTAATGTCACAAGTGACTAAATGTGATGAAATCAACAACAGCTTTATAAAAGAACAGTCAGACAATGCAACTAGTCATGCCCCATTGCATACTGGGAAAGGACTAAATTACAAAGAACTTTCAGTGTAGGTGTATTTGAACTATAAAATCATGAATCTAACTCGTCTATTGTGCTCATCTTTTGTCTTTTAAAAATAAAAGTACAGGAACGCTGCATTGAGACGAATCACTTGAAAACTTCAGAATGGCAAGTAAACAAAAAAAACAAGTACATTTTAGGTTTCCTTTTCTGCATTAATTACTTTCCATCTTTTTTGAAGAGTATCCTTAACCATAACCAACTTTGAATGGGAAATTATATGTTGATAAGAATACTATTGAAGCCCATAAACACTAACTCTAAAATCTGATAGGATTAGTTGATCTGGGCTGCGTTTCTCAAAAGCATCGTAAGCTTAAGTACATCGTAGACCCATTGAAACCAATGGAGCTACAATCAATTTAGGCTTACGATGCTTTTGGGAAACTGTACGATGCCCTGATTGTTTGGTTTTCTTCCCGGACCTACATGGATGTTGATCGAGGAACATGTCGTACTTGGGTAAATCATGTTAAGTTAAGGCGCACGTCTTTTTCTGCTTTATCTACTCCTTATCTTTTCTGTGTAACTGGAAACCATGCAGTAGCAGGTGAAGTTTCCACAAATATGCCGTGACACATCTCAGACTGGCGTCCAGCGGAGACAGCGGGGACTGGACTGTCTCAATTTCTGCCAGTGTTTGTGTTAGAAGGCATGGAGAGGTTTGACAATGTTTAAAATCCTGGGTTAGCACAGTCCTTCTGAACACTTCAGTCAATGTATTCTAAAACATATGCCACTGTATGCTCAATACTTTAATAAAGAATAGCTCAAACCTTGATGCCAACCAACGTCACTCATTCATATCGCTCGTATGTCTTGTTTCAGATGGGTATTTGGTTAAACTGAACCGAGCAATACAAAACTGAGAATGTTTACCTTCCACTCCCAGTGCCAGATCATCTTCCCCGCTCTCGTTTCTTCGTATAGGCTTCACTGAAAACAACTCAATATGTTTTACAATACAGTATTGAAGAGTGTGAAATTCAGAGTCAATAAGTCATGCCCTCGTGTCAGTAGGTCAGCTGACCTGCTAACCCTGTTATAATCGCATAAACCAGCAAGCTGTCAACCATCACAGAGAAAGGACTAATTGACTGAATCATATCAGTATGTTAATGACATATCCAACACAACGTTTACACAGAGCTCCAGGGTGAAATAGGCGTTCACAGGATCACTGCATATGCATTGAGCTGATCCCATTTATCAAACAGTCTACTCAATTGAAATATACAGCAACTATAAAGCAAGAAATATACACCAAAATACTCTCCAATGTTGCATTTTATCCCTTAGCTTCTGAATCATTTTATTGTGATATGATAATAATAAAAATATGATCATTTTTTGTAATACATTATAGTGCTGGGCAGTATGACCAAAAATTTATATCACGGTATTTTTCAAAATTATCCCGGTTTCACGGTACATGACGGTATTTTTTTTTCCATGCATGACCGGTTGTTAACCATATTTTCTACTGATTGAGAGAGGAAATACTGCAGTATATTGACTTAGAATGCCCTATTTTACTGTCATGATGAGTGAATATTGTCAAAAAATACCACACTAAATAGTGACTAAACACAACCCCTTTTAATACATGTTAACCAGGAGTCACTCTCATTTATAATCGCGGCATCGTCTGATAAAATCAACATGCATCTACACTAAAGAGTGGCTATGCGGCTGTTTTGGCTATATTACTTTTTTGTCTCATGCAGCGCACTGCCTGCGTCTGAGTAACAAACTAAAAAAAACAACAAACAAAAAAGTGCATTTGATATTAACAGACGAACTACAGTCATATTTCGCTGCTTTGCATATTCTGTGAAGTGAGCAGGATTTCTGAGGATGATCCATGGAATTTGACCAACACTGACTAACACCGATTACCATAATACAATTTCCCAGTTCCCTGAAACATCTCAAATATCAAACTCTACATCGCAGCTAGTCTGCACTTCCACGAAACAGCACAACATCTAACAGGCATACATATCCGTTTACTCACTTGTGTCCGAACTGATAATAGGAACAATATCAAAGTTATCCGTCCTGTTCCACCTAGTCCTGGAGGTCTGTAGAATTGCCCTTCTGGCGGCAGATTTACTGGTAGACATTGTTGTGGTCATGAGATTCAACCCATCCATAAATCAATCACGGTAGTGAGCGAACACCTCAATATCAGCTCATCTTCTCTAGTCCAACACTAAAAGATACAAATATGTGTATTTATTAATTCCCAAATTATGACAGTCAGAAAAAACACAAATGTTTGCACAATGTACATGAAAATGCCAAGCATATTTAATATTTGTGGTATATACTGTGCTTTTTCATTCATGCTACATTATTTCATTTATCTACGGTACAACTGGGCTAAAGACTAAACACAAACTTGGCCTACTTTTCTAAATACTTGTTTGTCTCTGTGCACTGCAATATTTTCCTAATCCATTGCGCACTATGACAACATATCAAATCTGATGTCATTTGATCCGACAGTGATCAGAACAGATTTATGTGGTAAATGAGAATGCCTGAAATAACCACACATATTTTAAGAAAGAATACTTGTGTAATATTCAGTTTTGTTCAAGGTGAATAAATAAAGAGTTTTTCAGTTATCTGATACTTTAAAAGATATTTGTAGTTTAAGGGCCCATGTCTGTACTAACACTACGAGATGTACACTAAATATATATATATATATATATATATATAAATCAGAATAATACAGGAGTATGCTAAACTATTTAGTTAAAAGGTTACAAAAAGTGAAAGTGATTAGATTGTGCCTACAAATAAAATAAAATATAATATAATAAACACTTGTTTTGACCAAACGTAGTTTTTAAATGGTATATTTTGTAAACAAAAGACAAAAAAGAGAAAAAGTAGTGTGTGTGTGTGTGTGTGTGTGTATGTGTACACACACACACACATACAATAATAACTAAATAAAACATTAATATAATTAACATAATTTTTATACATATTTTATTTTAATGTTAATTTTACTTTCCCTTTCAATACAAAAGATGGGTGTCTACTGTTCCTGGATAGCTGTCCTGCTCCAACACACCTGTCTGTAATTATCAGATGTTCCAGAACATCTTGTTTGGCTCAAGTTCAGGTGTTTTTTTATTAGAGTTGAAACTGAACATTGCTGGGAAGTAGATCTCGAGGAACAGGATCGGGCACCCCAATAATTATAGAATTATATAATCATAAATATCAGAAGTTATGAGAAAATGTTCCACAAGCTAACGTAACGGTGAATAAATGCAGATTTTTCACACACAAAACAAATCTACCAACCATAATAGTATATATTATCAGTGTTGGGGAAAGTTACTTTTAAAAGTAATGCATTATAATATTGCTTTACTCCCTTAAAAAAGTAACTAATTACGTTACTTAGTTACTTTTCATGGAAAGTAATGCGTTATATTACTTTTGCGTTACTTTCGCGTTACTTTTTAAATATGAGCAGGGCTTGATTTTTTTTTATATAAGAAGTTCTATTTATAGCAAATATAAAAGCCCTTTCACACCAAAAAGTGTAATGAATAAACCTCAGGCTGAAGGAAAAGTAAATTCACATCGCAGGAGAAGAAACACTCTTCAGCAATAAAAAAACAAAGCACAATTGTTAGCTTCTCTAAAGTCATTTTTGCTTATTAGTGCATGCGGTTGAACTGGATCATCAAAGGCCAGCAGCAAAGACATTAGTTAATACAATGGGATTAGATATATTTAATTATTGCAGGTTTGCGTCATATTCTGAGTTTGCATTTCACTGTTTTAATTCATTTTGATGAATACTAAATCAGTTTTTTGTGAGTGGGATGAATTAATGCACATTCACATTTAGTCTAGAACTACAGTAACATCATTGTTCACACAGCACACCCAACTCCTCTGTACTCCCGATTTCTCCCAATATGGGGACAGGAGACTTGTCAGTCAATAAATGGGAAAACAAAGTAACTGGCGTTACTTTTTTGAAAAAGTAACTCAGATATTTTCTTGTAAATTAAAAAAGTAATGCGTTACTTTACTAGTTATTTGAAAAAAAGTAATCTGATTACGTAACTCGCGTTACTTGTAATGAGTTACCCCCAACACTGTATATTATAAACACGGACAACGATATAAACCACTGCAATCCATGTTGCTCGTAATAAAAATGTAAGACTAATGAATAAATAACACCTAAAGATTTCCTGAAACAACCAATAAACTATGAACCACTAAAACTAGGGTGAATATTAGCTAATACCGATTTGAAACAATCATATGATCAGCAAATACTATTCCAAGACTATAATCAAGTTAGGAAAATATAAAGACGTGATTAACCGCGGTATGACCGCGGGACATCATCTCAAACACTCACCTGCGCTTTAGAGGAGCACGTCCAGACTGAACACCTGCCACAGCACGCCTGTTTAAAGGTCCTTATCGCTATATCAACCTCGGCTAAAAACAGAAACACACGAACTAATTTGGTCCACATACAGGGAAAAAAAGCTGAACGCGTATGCAAATAAAGTGCATAGAAAACAGCCTGAAGCACAAAGCCGATGTGTGAGCGCGCTGTTATCGCCTTCTGCTTTAATCCCGATGAATATTCACGTGCAAGATTGAAAGAGGAATTGAGCTGTGCCTGCGTGCAGAAACATGATCTTTGTTGCCTAACCTGTTAGAAGGAAGTTTGTGCTATTTCGCCTTTAAAACCTGTAGCTAAATCACGAGTGTGAGAAAGAGAAAATGTACTGTTCTTTGTAGCTATATTTAGACACTTTAGTCACATTCGAAATTTATTATCATTATTGTTATTACTATATATTTTTGTCTGTCTTTAAAATGTCCCCTATGACTAAACCAAGTTCTACTTGACTGCAGTTCTGTTTATGAACCACTAGATATCACTAAAGGTCTAACTGAAATACATTGAAAGCTACATAAACTGATGCCTCCATCCTCAATAATGAATGCCACCACGCATAATTAAGCTATAAAAATGTGCTGCATTTTTTTTCCTCAGGATAAAAGGTGGAAACTAGATCATTTCTCTGTGTGAATTAATATTCTGTGCACACTAAGGACCAGTAAACTATTCACAAACAACTAGGTAAGGTGACTGGCACAGATTGGACTGCATTATGCATGTTTGGCAGAACACTGTTTCTTTGAATGTTTTGTCAAAGCAACCCAATCACTTTTAGATTTTAGAATATCAATTCTAAAGCCTGAGCGTTTCACATAAACAAGCATTATTTACCGTTCGACGTGTTTACTGTTACCAGAACCTATTTTATTAGCAATTTTAAAATCAAAAGTTCTGAAAAGAAATGTTGCACAAGAAGGCTCGGTGACTTTTAATGCTTGTGTATTGGTTATTTCTTAGCAGATGAATGAAGTCAGTTCTTCTCGAGTTTACACAGGTGTTCTAGCAGAGTAACTAGGTGTAGTTAATCACATTAAATGATCCAATAACGTTTGACAGCCCGGAGTTTAACAATATGTTGTGTCTTTATCTATGCAGATAGCTATACACAAACAATAAATTCCACTTTGTTCAATATTTAATATCGAATGCATTGACATTCCTTAATTTTTGCGTGTGCCTTAGGTGTCTAAATAGTTTTTGGGGTCACTGTATCACCTAATGATCTAAGAAGTACGTTCTTAATAGGGCTAATAAAAATGCTACGTCTTATACTCTAATTTGTTTTATTTACGGCTTAGGAATCTTATTTCTGCAAGTCCTTGAGTGAATTTCCATGCAGACTTTGCACATTGTGAGAGGGACTTGACACGTCCTGACAGGGGCAGGCGCTGAGCACATCTGGAGCAGACGGGTGTGAAGTGTCTCACTCCAGGGCACAAGAGCAGTTCCCCCCTTCATAGTGTGATGCTTCTCACTTAAGAGTCTGTTTCTTAAACTTTCATGAACCTCAGAGCTGAATAAAATGCTGTTATCACAGCGGTACAGTGCTGAAAAAGGTTTTAAATGGCTGTATTAGCGCTTTAACACATCTCTTACTCCTACACGAGTGCCCTCGCACAAAACAGTCAGACATCTTCACCTAGAACATCTTCTGGAGATTTGTGCCTTATGTGAAGGAAACAAAAGCATAGAATAATCAAGTAGTATTCGATGGGTTTTCTTCGTAATGGTACACGTTCTCAACGCGACATGAATATTTGAGCAGCCTGCAACTGCTAATTTAATCATTCAACATCTGTTACAATTACTCCGGCTTCCACACCAAGATCTGGCTACAAGATACGAACGTAGAGTGTTATTGTTAGTAGAAAGCTTTAGAACAAAGAATATTGAGAAGAATTGTTCAAAGAGAGTTTACGTTAGCTGTGTCTGAAACCAAGTCCAGACAGTGTTGTAGCATAAGGAAAATGTCAGATCATGTCTAATTCAAACAACCACACAAATATTTAGTGACTGTTAGTCACATTACTATTTCTCATTAGAAATGTAATGTAATGTATTTAAATAATTTGCAAATATTGTCGTAAGATGAATATATATATATATAGTATTTAAATTAATTTGTAAATGTCATTTTTTTTTTTTTTAAATAAAGATTAATATTAAAATAAATGTTTTAATATGGGTGTTATTTTAATTAAATTAAATTAATATTTGATTGAAATTCATTTGTAAGTGAGCATTTGTTTTTGTAAATAAAGAATAACTGTAATATAAATTAATAAAATGAAACAATTTTGTCTGAAGGAATCAGTACAAATTTAATGCAAATTAATATTAAAATAATATTTAAATATTGGTGTTATTTTAATTAAATAACATCAATATTTTATTTAAATTAATTTGTATGTGAACCTCAGTTTTTTGTAAAAATGCTATTTAAATAAAATTACTTTTAAAATAATATTCAAATATTAGTGTTATTTTAAAATAAAATAAATGTTTTATTTGCTCAATTTGTAAATAAGAATTAAATACATTTAATATAAATTAAATTAAAATGTAATAAAATTGTGTCCAAAGGAGTCAATAAAAGTAGGAAATTAATAATCATTTGTTTTCCATCATTTTTTAGCCAGTTGTTTTTAATAATCTGTAAAAGACAAATCTATGCCACCTTCAAAATCGAAACAGATGAAGGCATCTTAGTAGCCTAGATGAGCTATTATGTAAACCTACCTTTGTACATTGTCTATGAAGGCAGCTTTCCGAAGAGACTGTTGTTCTGACTTCACTGAAATACACCTGTTTTGTGTTTTTTTATCTTGAGAGGGAATTTTTTATATTCTTGGATGAAAATGTCATATTATTAACAATTACTTACAGAACTTTGTCCGTCTCATGTGGGTGTAAGTCCCACTGTCTCAGGTCTTGGCAGCATGGCGATAGTGCTTTTGACTGTGACTTTGTGTGCTTGTGCTCGTTTTGGATGGAGCTCGTTACAGGCTGTCTGTGGGTGGGTTGCGCAGACCCTCGCGAGGCTTTCGGTTGGTCACAGGGTCCAGACCATGACTAATCCAAACCCCACCAGGCTGACCAGATGGGGCCTTCAGATTTCCTGAGAATAAGAGTAGGCCAACATATCAGAGGAGGCAATAACAAACGCAGAACGACGACAATGGCGTTGTTACGTAATCGTTTTATCAGCTTTTATGGAAAATGTAGATATTACAAACTGAAGATAAACATATCATAACATTAGAGCGAGGCCCCCAAGAATATCCAATGTAAGCAAACAGACGTACCAGATATCTTCATCATAAACATCAACCCTGGTGGCTCGCTTCAGAGAGCGAGTGTGTTTGAATGAGAGCGGGTGTCCGGGTTGCCAGATTCTGTTTTCCAGAACATTCACAGGAGCCTCAGAGGGTCGGAGAGTGGAGATTAAATTAAGGCCTAAGTGGGGACAGCTGCCTGCTGAAACCAAGGACATTTAGGCCCGTTCCTGAGGGTGATCTGTCCAGCAGGCTGTCCAAAACGGCTCCAGCGTGAGGATCCTTGCGCTTGTAGCGACTGGAGTTATGACTACAGCCAGATGGGTTTTGGCACTAGAGGAACAATATACAAGTTGCGCTAAATGGAACAAATCAGTATAAAATTGTGCGTGCTTGCGTGGAATCACACTTCTAAGTGTTTGTGTGTGTCTTCGCTGATACCCATGCATGTTTTAATGAGCGCGCAGTCTGTTTCTGATTTGCAGAGTAAAAGAAGAATAGCATTTCAAATCTTTTTGAAAAAAAAACAACAGTTTTTAGTCGTTTCTGTCATCTCTTTCTTACTGCCATGGATCATTACCATCACTAATAAATACACTGTTAGACTCTTATTACCTGCTGAGGACTCAAAAAATAATGTACACGAGAGCTTTCAAAAACGAATTTGAACTTCTGGGATGCTTTTTCTCTGGGTAAAAGTGAAGGATAAGCCACAATAAAAGACAAAACAGGCCGATTTCCGAAACAATATTTGTTGTAGTGCCTCTCATTGCATCAGGGCAGATGATCAGACAAGCCTGGAGAGGCCGCTGATGGCAAATGATGAAATGACATGCAAAAAAGCAGCTGGGGCCACACTAATGCATAACATTTCCATAACATTCCAGCAACGTTCGTGTAACAACCACTAGTAGAGAGCAGATCTCTCGTAAACATCAAGGCTGTGTCCTGCATTTTGACGCTTCAAGCTAATTTGAACAATTTGACTAACTAATGCTTATTTCTCAAGAAAAATGTACATTAATAAATACATTCACTCTTTTCAGATGCTATTTTTATTGAATACATCACAAAATGGATCTTTGATTTTATTTAGACTTGGACAAAAACACATTCTGGTCTCACGAGGAGCCAAATATGGCCCTAACATCGCCACATTCAGGGTTGCTTCGTGAGCAGATGCCAGACGGTTTAGGAAGAAGCCCAGCATGAGTCGTGCCAGAAGAACCTAATCTGGACTGGGCAACAAGCACAAGGGACTGCAGGAGACTGTAAAGGAGAGCACCGGTCCAATGTGTGCCTCCACAGGGCCAAAAGAGAGGGTATGACCCATTTAACCCATGCCAAAGATTTTACTCGTGCCAGTTATAGGCCTACCACATTCACCTTCCTACCAGATCAGATTTGCGCAATCGCTTTGCGACAGAGTCACAGACACACACAGGGTGAGGTTGCTCAGAGAAGGTTCACCCTGATGGACATACTTGGCACGACTTTGACATAAATCACAGTCACATCAACATTTCTGGCACGATGCATCCTCACACACTCACACACACACTTCCCCCATCCGCTCCCACTAGTCCCTGGACTATAGCATTGGCTAGGTACAAGAGTGAAATTAAAATCACTTAACAGTGTGGATCAGCGGCACTGAGCAGATAATTTCTTCATGCAATTCTTCAAGTGTGGCACAAGTTCATATTTTACATCAAAGGCATATTTATTTTTGGCTTGTATGCGGTTGCATGTAACAGTAATTCTAATGAGAAAAAGGAAATAAGAACTTTAGAATTACTGATGCACCAGTTGAAGGTTGAATCATGAAACTGCATGTTACGGAGGAATATTGTTTGGTTAATTACGTCAGTTGTGCTTAGGCTTCGCTGTTGTACGCAGATTAATCTGATGGTTTGAGTCATGTATTGACGGATTTTCTCCTAATTTACTGGCGTCGCACAATAGCAGCAGGCACTTATTTTTTTCCCTTATGGACATGAGAAGACTCGCACAGACGAGTGACAGAAGTACTGGATGCACTTCCCGCAAAATCCGTCCCGACAGCTCTAACATTAATACAGATTTCTAATGTACTCATTAATAAACCATTACACATTA